TGGCCGGGTCAAGTGAGCAAGCCTCTAACTTGAATTAAAAAGCAGTCACGGCCCCTGAATCAGCTCCCAGACTTGAAGACCGAGTTTGCAGGTTCAAAACCCCTTGAATGATGGGGAAGCTGGAAGGACCCCAGTTTGCTCCTAGAAGTTTACACCTTTGGGAGCCCCTGGGTGGCTCAGTTGGCTAAGCATCTGCCTTCGGCTTAGGTCATGATCCCAGGGTCCTGCGATCAAGCCCCACATCAGGCTCCTTGCTCTGTGGGGAGCCCGCTTCTCCCTCTCCTCCCCACTTGTACTCTCTCACTGTCTCTCCTTCTCACTCTCTCAAATAAATAAAAGCGTTATTAATTAATTAATTAATTAATTAAAGTTTGCACCTTTGTTCTTTCTCCCAGCCTTCCCCCACGGGAGTTGTGGCATTTAACCAGGGTGGCCGTGCACTGGGGAGCAGGAAGCCACCAGACTTTTTGGGACCCCTGGATGCTGGAACTGACCCGATGCCAGCAGACCAGTCAGAGTAGGGGCTTCTGGGGGTCAAGGGATCAGTGGAGTTCTAACTGAGGTCTGCCTCGTAGTGTCACAGTGGGCCCAGGAGGCCCCGAACCCATCCCAGTCCTGGAGCACATCATCCAGCAGCAGGCAGAATCGCACACTGGTTCCCTGACCTGTGTAGAGAGGGCTGTTCTGGTGGCCAAGCCAAGTGGGAGCCTCTGGACTGCCTAGAATAGTAAACTCTTCTTGGAGGGATTTCTGAGATCAGTGCCCCCATCAGGGACTGGAAGGGTGCATGGATAGTGAGCCCTGCATCATCTGCACTCAGCTCCCTCACTCGACGGTGCAGAACCAAGATGGATTGTCTTAAGCTTACCAGGTGGTACTCTTAATTGCCGTTGCTGTTCCCGATGCTTGAGCAAATGAACACATCCTCTGGAAGTTCTATGCAGTGGTCTGTCTGGCAAATGCTCTTAGGAAGGACCACCAGATCAGCTTGCTTTCAGCCGCCAGCAGTGCATCGTCTTGTCCCACCTCAGGGGTATACCAGCTCTCCAGCCCTGTGTCATGCTTTATGTCACAGGGCCCTTGACTGTCTCTCCCTTCACAGGATAGCATGCTGGCCTGTTACATGGGGGATACCCTGCGGACTGGTTCAAGTAAGAAGTAGCAGCTACTCTAGATGCACTGGAAAGATGTTTGCTTGTCAGAGGTGGGAAAGAAATCTGACAGAAATTAGG